CTCAGTGATATTTGTTGATTAAACTACTAAGACAAACCCGAAAGGTGCCCGAAGCCGCGTTCTACAGTACACGTTTTTTTCGGTAAATATTTTCATTTCTCGTTCGAAAAATTGTAGTTTAATTACAAAAACAAGCCGAAATTAAACCAAGAGTCTTAAAAAAATCCGTGACAAAAAAAAACAAGGCAAAACATTGTACGATGAAGATTCAAGCATCTAGATTGGTGTTGATTTCAAAAACAGCGGTAGCTTGACGGTTTCAGGCCAAAACAAAACATCACAACTAGCTGCATAACATCGTTTTTCACGTTAACGTTGAAATAGACGGCCATTTCACATTTTCACACTATAGAAATCGCAACTCGACTGACTTGTAAATAACTTGACCGTTCTATACGCTGCCGTTTCTATATTTCGCGCCATACCCAGTCAGCGCCCTCTACCGTTAATTAAGCGATATTGCTCAACACGATGTAGAGAATATACAAGATCTTGGAAGCGTACAAATAATTATGAATTCGAATTTCGGTGGGTACGTTTTGGTTGCGTTTCCCTGAGCTACACCATCTCACAGTGCGTTCAAATCTCCAACACTCCATGGGAATGTAGCACTACATATTTGGAAGAGGGGAAGAGAGGGAGAGAAAAAGAGAGAGAGAGAGAGAGAAAGAGAGAGAGAGAGAGAGAGAGAGAGCGAGTGAGCGGGAGGGGAAAAAATAGATTAGCGTTATTTGAAAAGCGCTACAGACGTCAAGTTTTATATTGGCATGATGGTAGCTCGAACGGGTTCCCGGATCAGAATCCGTTTCAGAATGAGTTCCCGGACCAGAATCCGTTCCAGATTGAGTTCCCGAATCAGTCTCCGTTCCGGAACGAATTCTCGGATCAGTCTCCATTCCGGAACGAGTTCCCGGATCAGAATCCGTTTCGGTTTCGCTGAGTGTACAAATAGAAGGTCGCCGTTATTAGTTTTTCGTTAAGGTCTAAGAAGAATAAAAGTTATTAGTTTCCTTTTTTAACGCAAAAATGTTCGTCATCATTCCTTAGACTTTATTTTCTAACGGTTTTTCGTAAAACCTGGTGCGCTTTTTAGGAAAGAAAAATGCCTCGAAATCTGGGTTTTATGGAAACGCACCCCGCCTGTTGGTGGGTCAACGACACCGTTGCTGTTTTTAGAAAACGTGTGTCATCGCTGCAGCGATTTGTATTTTTCCGTGGATTTTTCAACGAAACCCGACGCACTCTTTAGGTCTGAAAATACGTCGAACTCTTTCGGAAAGCAGTAAATGCAGCGTGAAGGTTAGAATATATGTCGTCAGCTG